TATATATATATATATATATATTGATCAACTCATAGATTTATTTAGATTATGTATAAGATTCATTAAACTACTTCCATTGATTATGTTTCCATTTATAATTTCTAATTATTAATGTTGTCCTAAAATTGCCAAGTGGCTTCATTTTAGCTTGCCACTTGGCTTAACCACAATGCATACTATTCTCCTTTTAATATAATATAGATAAATATAGATAAAGTATGTAAAATTTTGAAAAAATTAAGCATATAGAATTTAAAATGACACTACTTGATTCCTTATTATTACAAAACTTTGGTGGTGTAAAAGCCTTAGAAATTCGCCTAGGTGATAATGGACTAATTAAACCGTTGACTAAAACTCCTTTCTTATTGAATAAAGTGATCTATTTAATATTTTAACAGAAATTATTTCAGCATACCATAAGCAAGTTTGATACTCTAATTTTGGAGAAAACTACTGTCCTTTTCTTTCTCTCTCTCCCTCTCTCTATTTTTTTTTTAGTGGGTGATGACTTGCTGTTGCTGCTCTTTATTTTTCGGTACTTTCTAAACGAAGAATTAATCCAAATAGTCGCTCACTTAATCTCTTAAACTAAAAATAGTCGGTTCGAGATTAAGCATTGATTATACTATATGTATGTATGTATGTATGTATGTATGTATGTATGTATATGTTAGAAAAAATTAGCCGAATATGGGACGAAATAATTAGGCCTTGATAGTTTAGTCACTGTCCTTAAGGAATTTAAGCCTCCCAATTGTTGCAGGGATTATGGCAGAATTCCTCCAGGATTCTATAAAGCCTCTGAAATCCGAGTTTTAATAATTAACTCGAATTTTCCACAAGAACAGAATATTTGTAATATTTTGAGTTGTAGAAAATAAGTAGAAGAGAAGGAGATGAAAGTTTCAGATGTCTTTCGTTTTGGGGGATGATATGGGTATTTATAATACCTCTAGGAGTCTGTTAATTTAACAGACTCATCTCTTCATAACAGGAACCTTTTAAAATCAATAGTCACCTTTTTAAATTTAAAAGAAAGCTGTTAAAAATATTTTTTGAAATTAAAAGGCAAAACATTTTAATTAATTAAATAAAAGGTGACTAAAATATTAATTTCGGGCTGCTTAATTGGCCAAGTGCCCTTGACTATTAGTAATATAGTCAAATTCCAATTTCCCTCCAAAATACCTTTAAAAATATTCAAACTATAAAAGACAAAGAAATGCTTTTAAACACATCTTCCTTTCTTTCTTTTTCTAATGAGGGACAAAACAACCTCTTCTCAAATACTCCCATCAAGCACTAACTACTCTAACAGTATGTATGTATGTATGTATGTATGTATGTATGTATGTATGTATGTATGCATGCATGCATGCATGTACGTACGTACGTATGTGTATAATTAATATATACCAGCTAGGAAAAACAAACGTTAAACCTGACCGACTATTTTTGTAACAATTCCTTTTTAAATATCGATAAAACTTAAAGAAAAATTTTGCGTACGCCGCAATACGCATATATCTATTTGTGTCAATAATATTTCATAGTAGAGCTAGTTATCTTTCTAGCTTAAACATTATATTAAATAGGGAAGAATTTGGGATTAAAACGTCACCCAACAGAGTTAAGAAGCTTAAGCAATATTGTCACATTCATACTTTTTACTTGTTGCATAGAAAAAAAGATGAGAAGAAAAAAAGATTGATAAACTCATGCATATATGGAAGTTAAGTTAATTTTCAAGTTGCATAAAAAGATCGAATATAATTAAGGTTATTTTCTCCAAGTTGCAATAAAAGAGAGAATAAAAAAGGTTTAGATTATTGGGATGGCACAAAAAGAAGCAAATATTTACATACTCAAAAATTCATAGTATAAATAGTCATAGCCTACACCCTTTGCTCATGTTCATTATTTAAGCACGAGTGTTAGAATCAAAATGTCAAGAGTAAGAAATACATTAGTTCTTGGTAGAGTAATTGGAGATGTTTTGGATTCATTTACCAGGTCTGTTAGCCTAAGAGTGTTTTACAACAGTAGAGAAGTTATTAATGGCTCTGACTTTAGGCCTTCTTATGTTACCCACCAGCCTAGGGTTGAGATTGGAGGGGTTGATCTTGGCACCTTTTACACTCGGGTAAATCCCTTATTCATTTTATATGACACTCTTTTCGTATTAAGCAATTTAAAGAAAAATTAACATCTTTCTATATTGAAAAACTCTTCTTTAAACCGTTTCCTAAAAACCGTAAATTTCAGCCGAAAATTCATTGAAATTGTACTCATAACAAACGGTTGATTTTTCACTGATTTCCTGACACGACGTTTGTCAGAAATTTGAGTCTTTCTAACCGTGAGCTTCTCATTTTACCTTTAATGACATGATCTTATAATCATAGAGATGCCATAACATATTTAATACCACAAGTTCTGATGATACTTTTGGTACTATGTATAAAAAAAATTGTATCTTGTCAACTATCATCATACAAAATAAAAAGGATCGGATACTATATATGCTCCATTATTGCCTTTTGTTCCATTGCACTAGCTTTAGCTTTGACAACAACAACAACAACGATCCAGTAAAATTCCACAAAGTAGGGTCTAAAGCTTTAACTTTGACAAACAAGTGTATAATCTAGGGCTTCACTTTTTCTCATTTTGTTTACTTAATCTGGAAATGTTAATCAAGACATGTTGGAATTTCTCTTCACTTGTTTTTGAAGGTTATGGTGGATCCTGACGCTCCAACCCCGAGCGACCCAAACTTGAGAGAGTATCTACACTGGTCAGTATATTTTTTTTCGACTTAATTTATATATACCGATAGTAAATTATTAACTTTTACACTATTAATACTACAATGTTCGTTTTACTAGTATTTCTTCTCATGCTTTCCGTAGAGTGGGAGTTCAGTTTAGGTTTGACTGTTTGAGCCTTGAGGTCTAGGCGTTACGTGTGTTGGGGTAAAGCAACATGAATTAAAGGAAGTTCACTTGAACTCCCTTAGACAAATATATATATATATATATATTTATTGGAAAGATGCAAGATTCTCGTAACCTGTGATAATAAGTTTTTTCTATGATTGGAACTCTTATTCAAAATTGTTGTCTTGTCATCCTCAACTATGGTGGACCAATCCAATATTATTCATTTCAATCATATCTATATATCTGGTTAAGTATCTTGCAAAGAATAGAAATCATAATAGAAGGGTTAACATCGACTTATAAAGCAATGGGAAAAAGTAGCTACTTCAAAAGTTATAGTTTTATCTTATTTAGAAATTCGCATACACCCAACCCCGTTTTTCTATTTTTGATTTTTCATTTACTTGAAAATAAACTCTCTTGATATATATATAAAGGAAAATGTAATTAATTATCGAAATAATCCTTAATATAAGTATATCCTTGTTAATGTTTGTTCTTCTTTGTTCTCTGTTCAAATGATAATGTCCTAAAAGTTTCACCGGTGGAATTTGAACTCCATGGCACTGACTATTTTTCATTTACAAAGAGATTGAGAAGTGGCTTTTTGTGAATTTTATTGAGAAGTGGCTTTTTGTGAATTTTACCTTTTATTCTGTTAGGGCTAGCCTATGTTGACAGAGTAGAAATGACACCATATAGCTATTCTAGAGGGATGTTATTTATGAATTAGCTAATCTGTCCTTAATTTCAGCTTTTCAGTTTAATTTTTTAGAACATGAAGTGCTGAAATTAAGATTTGTAGTTCAAATTTTTAGGATAAAATAAGTATTGACTAATCTCTAAATAGTAGCCCAAGAATTGCTATTCGTGTACTTCCCCCTCTACGGACTAGCCCCATACTCTGGTGTTATGGGCCTGTTCGCCGACTAGGCTTTCTTTTCTGTATTTATGGACCAGGCTAAATCGGCCCACAAATCCCCTAGCTACATCATGATGTGTCGCGTAATTTTCCCCTTCTTCATTATGGGGCCAGTCCAATTTGACTTTGTCACGTTTAGGGGGAAGTGCACGGTTAACCACTAATAACACATGTATTTACTTTTAAGCCACTATTTAAAATGTCTTTAGTCTTTAGCCACTGTTTTAATAAACTTTAACTGCCTGGACGAAAATACCCTTCTGCTCATATCCTTAACTTTCGAATTTAACTTCAGGACTACATGTCCTTAACTTTTGAACTTGTAACTCTAAGTTCAAGACTACATGTCCTTAACTTTTGAATTTAACTTCAGGACTACATGTCCTTAACTTTTGAATTTAACTTCAGGACTACATGTCCTTAACTTTTGAACTTGTAACTGTACGTTCGGGACCAAGTGTCCTTAATTTTTGAGCTCGTTAGTCTAAGTTCATGACCTATTGTTCTTAACTTTTGGGCTTCTTAGCCTAAGTTTAGGAGTTATTGTCCTTAACTTTTGAGTTTGTTAGTCTAAGTTCAGGACTTCAAGACCTATTGTCCTTAATTTTTGAACTTGTAATTGTAAGTTCAGGACCTATTGTCCTTAACTTTTGAGTTTCTTAGCATAAGTTCAGGACCTATTGTCCTTAACTTTTGAACTTGTAACTGTAAGTTCAGGACCTATTGTCCTTAACTTTTGAGCTTGTTAGTCTAAGTTCAGGACTTTAGGACCTATTGTCCTTAACTTTTGAACTTGTAACTGTAAGTTCAGGATCCATAACGTAGCAGAAAACCATACATTATTTATATTTTTTCACAAAAAAATAAAAATAATAATAATAATAATTGCAATTTACATATAAAAATGATGTCAAATGAAGTGCACAAAATTCTTCCAAAATCATCGTAGTTTGCTATTACCTATGTTTCTGCCCCGTTTTTGTTACTTATGTACTAGATAGAGACAATCATGACACTCATCCATTATAATATGTAGGTAACCATACATTCTGGCAACAATTATGAACAACGAGCAGTTTACCAAAGATTGTGTTAAAAAATCATTGAGAAATTAAAAGAGAGAAGAAAACTCCCACTTGAATGAGGGAAACGCAAACTTCCACGCAGCAGTTTCCTACGCTTTACCTTTATGAAATTATGAAAGGGTAATACTGTCTTTTCATATTAATTTTAATAGACTAGTGACTACTTTTGCCCAGCATTAAAAATGCTGGATAAAAACTAAATACCACTTTAAAAAGTGACTATCCCACGTAATTTTTACTCATGTTTATTACAATAAAATTAGAAAAATGATACTGTATAACCATTCATAAATAGCCACATTTCAACCATGTAATTGAAAAATAACTATCGTTAGGGAGTTTCAAGGTCCAAATATGAAACTTCAGAACACTGTCACGGACTTTTACATGTGGAATTTTAAACTCCATAATAATGGCTATTTCAATTACAGGGCCCAAAAATGGCCAGTTGGGGCTATCCAACGACTATGTGTAAGTGGAGAAAAACATATAGAGTAAAGATGCTAGAGACATAGACCCACTTTCGTTTCTCAAGATGTGCGAAAACATTTATATTATTATGCAGATAATATGAGAACTATTTCAATAATTTCAGCTTGAAATTATGTAACTTCGTTATTCTACTCCAAAATATCATATTGGAATTACATAGCTTCAACAAGTGTACTGATTCTTTGCTAGGTTGGTAACTGATATTCCAGCAACTACAGGAGTAAGTTTTGGTAAGTTTATCCTTCATACTTAATCGCAGACTTCTATTATATTATATCTTGCACAAAAATAGATTTGGTCATATATATAGGAAGAAAAATGTATTTACCCGTAAAACTGTACAGTTAAATTTATACGTGGTTTATAGATAAATGAATAGATTTGATCCTAAAGTGATAAATAAATTAGGCAAGAACGTAAGACTTAGCCTTAAAACAGAAGATATCTTGGTCCCAGGAGTTAAACTTCCGGAGGCAGTAAGAACAATGTAAATAAACAATAAAGTAAAATGTTATTGAGTTTTGAAAAAAGTATAGTGTATGCTTGTCAGTGAATTCGTCCTCTTACAATGATGATAGAGCTCATTATTTATAGTTGCACCTAGGGAACTGTTAGACCATGCGAAGCAGAAGCAAGCATACAAGTCAGGCATCAAATACATGTAAACTAGACAACACAATAATAACGAGATTAGAAGCACTAACCTCTTGAAGTAGTTGTACACATCTTCCAAACAACAAGAATCCAGGTCTGTAGTCTTCTGCTATTTACCTAGTAAAACCTTGGACGATTTTGCTATTGGGTGGGCAAGAACAATACAACTGAAAGATAAGTTATTAGGTGAAACTAGTCTTCCTTTAATAGACCCGAAATTAAGCCACAATAGGGGCTCAAAAACATGTAGGATTCTGCAAGTAGAATCCTACTCTAACTCAAAAGGATAACTTTTCTCCCAAGCTACTTTTTACCCAAGTCTGTCCAGGTTTTTACTAGGTATAGCAGGGACCGCAGAAATAATAAGAGATTACTAATTATAGTATTAATTCGAAATTAGCACGAATTAATTTTTAATATAATTAATTGCAATTTATTCCACTAAAAAACTGCAATTGAACTCCTCAATATGAATTTCGAAAATTCATTAACACTTATTTTAACTCCCCATGTTAAGATTTCAAATACCAGTTAATTAAATTAAATCACTGAAAATTTAATTCAATTAACTAATTAAATCCTTTATAATTCCGCTTAAACTATTTCATGTGACGGATACAAAATCCACCGGCAGGGTTTTCACATGAAAATTATAAGCTTACATAAAGGAGTATCATCAAACCCAAAACCGAATCATGGATTCTATCAACTAATTATTATTCACAAATGTTATTCGTTATTGTCCAATCTATTAGGCATATACTAACTCTAAATAGAGTGGTACCTTTTGATAAATCAAAACAATAAACAAATTACATTGATTATAATAACTATATAAAGATTAGGAGTATAAGCTTATTTAATGACTTAGAGAAAATATTTTATATATTCAGTACAAAAATATCTTTTCTCTACTTGGTTCGTTCAATATATACTGAGTATACTAGCACAAGAAGTTCGAGTAAAACTACTTCCATAATCAAGACAAATTATACGATAATCTTATGCTACAATCATCAAGATATTTTGTCCAACAATATCTTTGATTGTGAACATAGTTTATTAATTATGAGAACCAACAATTTAATCTTTTTTGCATGAGCTAAGAATCCATACATTAAATTGTTTACTACATAACTAAAAGGACACACATGTAACAAATGATCTATTTAAAATAGTACTTTATTGAATTGAATAAATTAAATAAACAATTATTCCATAAAGAATAAAATATAATACTATGTCTAAACCGTATGGTTAATAGTATATCCTAACAGGAACAAGGTCCTATATATGATCAAGCTCCCCTTTAAATGACAATTATAATGGCTATTGAAAAATGTGTAATGGTGGGCAGTGAATGTCATATTCTCTGTAACGGACTGTGTACTTAATGCTATAGAATATTTTCATTGAATGCTACCGGGTGGCAAACCTTTATTTCTCCTTTATGAGTATTATTTCCTTCGATAACAAACGAGATTGTTGCCTTCTATCCTGACTAGCCCTCAATTTTTGGTTCCACGTGCCGCTCTCTCACACGATCATTTATTATGAACATATTTTACCCTATGCAGAATGTTCATTGCCATTTTTTTAATCTATGACCTATAAATCACGGGTTTAAGTCGTGAAATCTGCCACTGATACTTGCATCAGGGTAGGCTCCTTACATCACATCCCCAGAGGTGCGGCCCTTCCCTGGACCATACGTGAAGGCAGAATGCTTTTTGAACTAAGCTGTTTTTTTATTTTTCTTTTTTTTCTTTTTAAATTTATGAAACCTCATACTAAAAGCTCTTCATTACTTTTCGAAGCAGAGGAAGTATTAATTTTTTCTCTAGGCTATAAGTAGACAAAGAAAACGTAAAATTGAGAGTTAAAAGTAGCCATACTAGCTATATGTTGCGCTCTCCAAAAATGTTATTGCAGTCGTATTGCATCCTCCAAAAATATATGTATTATTTTTTAGAGGATCCGATACCGCGATACGCATGGCATTTTTAAAAAATTCGAACAACATAGGCCACAAAATTAGACATGATTTTTAAGTGTGATGTATGTTTCGTGTATTGGGTTTCTAGGAAATGAAGCGGTATCCTATGAGAGCCCAAGGCCTACAATGGGAATACATCGAATTGTTTTCGTGCTATTTCTGCAATTGCATCCAGAGAATAATGTCTATGCTCCTCAAAGTCGTCAGAATTTCAACACAAGAGATTTTGCAGAGCTTTATGGAGTTGGATTACCTGTTGCTGCAGTTTACTTTAATGACCAAAGGGAAAATGGCACTGGTGGCCGTCGACTATAATATGCACTCGTACGTGCAGGCAAATATAAAGGGCGAGGGGCGAGGCTAGTGTTGTGCTTATGGGTTCGGCAGGACTAGTAGATTTGACTCGAATCTTTTATTTGTGTTATAAAATATATAAATAATTTATCCAAAATCTAATGAACTGTATTTTCTAAAATTCAGAACTTATAAACTTAAAATCCATCTCCGCCTTTTGGCAAATATATAACATTATATCCATGAAATAGAATAAGTTAATATGCCCTTGTTGGAAAAATATGCGCACTTTGGTGTTTTTTATGGATTATCATTTCAAGTATTGCTCGCGTTGGACTTTTTATGTAGAGATGTGAATCAAATAATAAATATTCTTTTCTAAGTTATAGTATATAGACAACTGCAGATCTAAATTAATTATTTAGTTATGAAATACCACTAATTATGTTTATATTATCAATATCTCTATGTGTGATATGATGTTAATATACTATTCTTTTCGGTCTATTTTAATTGATTTTTTTGGTTGTTTTTACAAAATATTAAGGAATCTACCTTTTAGCATTAACTAACAATAAAATTGACCATATTAACTTTAATTTGTTCATTGGAAATATAACAATTACTCCTAGACTCTTTATTCTAAGGGCAACTTAAAAAAAGTTAATATATAAAAAAATCAAATATTATGAACCACAAAAAAAAATATAAAAAATAAATTAAAGTGAATCGGAGGGAGTAGCTTGTTAAAACACTATCCAAATACATTCACCAACTTCTACTTCAGCAAATAATTAAATTAACGAGCAAGGTTTGGAGATCTTGTCGTAGCAACCTCGAAAAGTTGAAAAGTACCCATGTGACACACCACCTACAAACATGCACTCCAAAATCTCTCCAAAATCTTTATATACTATTATATATAAACATTCATATATCAAATCCCGTCATTTATTACAATAAGCCCTTTCCACAAAAAAAAAAAAAAAAAAAAAAAAAAAAAAAAAAAAAAAAAAGTTGTACAAATCATCCTTTATAATAATCAGAGTCAAGGTCTACATGAATTTTGATACCAAATTAGTTCAAATGACCTCAAATCTTTCTCAAATTTTATATATTGACTCATCTATATGTTTTTAATAAAGCTCAACTATATTCATTAAAAAAAACTTTTTTTTGCTTATATATATATATATATAGAGAGAGAGAGAGGGTTTTGCTAACCTACTACATAATTGTAGTAGGTTAGCATTGTATACATATTTGAGTTCTCCAAAATACCCTTATTACATGCCACCACCTTTTCATTAATAATGGGGATAATTTTGACATTTCACAAAAGAGGACACCCCAATCCAGCTAGGGCTGCTTATCGGACGGATCGGGCGGATAATTATACTTAACGGTTCGGCTTATTGGTTATCGGATTATAAATATAGTACTCCCTCCGGTCCAAAATAAGTGTTTTTTGGTATTTTTTTTGTGGTCCAAAATAAGTGATTTTTTCAGATTTCAAGAATGAATTAATTATTTTTTTCCTACATTGTCCTTGGAGTAAATAGTGCTGGAATATGTGTTAGGAGTGTTTATGTGAGATAGTAAAGGTTAACATGGTCAATTTCATTGCTAATTAATGCAAAAAGGTGGGTTTCTTAATCTGTGTGAAAACATTCAAAAAATTACTTATTTTGAACCGGAGGGAGTAATTCGCTAGCCATCCAATAAGATAACGGGTGAATTGGTATCGGATTAATAATTATCGAGCGGTTATCTGACGGTTTAACGGATAAATCAAATAAAAAAATTTGAACAATCCTAATATGTTGCTGCATGATAGAATTTGTTAACACTTTGTAATTTGTATTCAATTGTCAAATGAGTCAAAAAACAAGTACTTCCACCTACAAATTAAGCCTATTATGCTACATAACAAAGCTCCTAATAACTATAGAAAAGACTGGAAATATGACATGAATGCATCAGGCTTTCATGTTTACATAACATCGCATAATACTAGGTTACATGATTTTAGTTTATTTTTTCTTTTTAAAATTCAATCTACTCGACAAAGGAGAAAATGGAATAAAAAGGAATTCCAATGATTTCACTAACATAGAGGTAAAAGTATAAATATAAAAATTCTCAACGGGTTAACGGTTTATCTGATAAGAAAATTGAGTAATCCGCTCCCAAATCATTAAGTCGCTAATTATAAAATCTCAATCCGTTCACCAACCATTAACCCGATAAACCGATACCAATAAGCCAATAAGACATCGGTTTGATTAACGGTTACGGTTCGATTTTGAACAACTATAAATCCAGCAATCTGTCGTCCTCTTCGTCAAGCTCCAAACTTGCCGTTTCAATAATCCATTCTTCTTCATTCTCTATATCTTTGTTCTAACAGATCCTATAATTTATTAGTGTTTGGCTTTTTCCATTGAAATCAAGGTTAGATAAGAAGTGTTGGGCGAGAGCAAATTGAAAAAAAAATCATGAAAAAGATGAAATCCAATTGAAAAAGAAAATGAAAAGAAAACACAAAAGTGCCTGCAATTGAGAAATTGAGAAAACACATCCAACTCTATCTTTTCTGGGACATGTCCTCGCTCTGTGCACTAGCAATAATCCCCACCTCTGTCGGTTAAGTCGATTTCTCTAAAGGAGTCATTGTTCAATATCCAATTATTAATTTGTATCAATGCCTGAATGTCCTATTAGGTTAATAGAATGAGAACATATTATGAGGATAAATTGTTCTTCTGAAATGTAGTGGAAATTGCATCAAAGAATTGGGTGTGTTGAATGTGAACCTCCCCCCTCCTCCCCCATATATATATACACACACATTTATGTATGTGTGTATGTATGGAGGCATGAAATAACAAGGATAGTTTGGAGAACTCAAATATGTATACAATACTAACCTACTACAACCATGTAGTAGGTTAGCAACCTCCCCCCCTCCTCCCCCCCTATATATATATACACACATGTATGTATGTAATGTCCATACATTTAATGTGATGGCATGAAATAACAAGGATAATTTGGAGAACTCAAATATGTATACAATACTAACCTACTACAACCATGTAGTAGGTTAACAAACCCCNAATGTTGCTAATAGCTTAAAAATATGGAAGAAAATCTTTGTGTGTAATTCTTGGAGAAAGAATATTATTTATTTGAGTTTTTAATTTTATACTATGTATTTGACTAGTTTTAATAAGTCTATGATTAATGACTAAATGTTGGTAAATTGAGACTTTTTTGTGACATTTTTCGAATATTCCCAAGTAAAATCTTCCCCGAAAGAGAACCCATTAAGTTCAGGATGCATTATATTCCTGATCATTAACTCGACGATTACGAGAATCAACTCCTAATCGGAATTTATATATATACAAAAAATATATATTTTTTCGGTTATTATTTTGAGAGCGCCTAACACCGTGGCACAATTAATATACGTAACGAAAGCATGATTCATGAAACGGCTATTCTAGCTAGCCCAACCCTTTAAATACCAAGGATGTAATTGTATTTAACCATTCAGAATTTGTATCATCAACGTAATACACTACTCATCATTGTTTTTCATATGCATGTCCATGTTCTATTGTCTAGAACGACAGAATTAGTCCCCCCAAAACAAGATGTTCAAGGATTAATGAATAATAAAAAGAAAAATAATACTGTATAACTGCTCTCAAAATAATAACCAAAAAAAATGCTTTTTTGGTATATATATAAATTATGTATGTTATATACAAAAATTATACAAATTTTATATACTTTTTCGGCTATCAAATGTAAATAGTTTCTGACGCAGGCTGTAACAACCCGACCGATCGTTTTGAGAATTTAAGCTTCGTTCAGCGGCATAAGATCTTGAGCAACTTCGTATTATGTGTTATGACTTGCGTGAGTGGTCGAGTTCAGTTACCAGATGATTCGAAGTCAAATTGGAAGAAGAATTCTACCTTTGGAAGCTTAAGTGGTGACAGTTGACCGGAATTTTTGAATTCGTGCAAACGGCTCTGGAGTGAGTTCTGGATGATTTAAACAGCTTCATATGGTGATTTGGGACTTAGGTGTGAGTGCAGATTTGGATTTGGAGGTCCGTAGAGTAATTTGAAGCATTTCGGCGAAAGTTAAAAAAATTTAAGTTTTGGAAGGTTGAGAGGTTTGATCAAGAGTTGAATTTGGTGATATCAGGGTTCGATTCCAATTCTGGAAGTTGGAGTAGGTCCGTGATTTTGTATATGACTTGTGTGCAAAATTTGGGGTCAATTGGATGCGATTTGATAGGTTTCGGCATCGGTCGTACAAGTTTGAAGTTCATTAAGCTTGAATTGGTGTGAGATTCATGTTTTTGTTGTTGTTTGATATGATTTGAGGGCTCGACCAAGTTCGTATGGTGTTTTAGGACTTGATGGTATCTTTGGTTGAGGTGCCGGGGGCCTCGGATGTGTTTCGGGGTGAGTTTTAAGCGAGTCCGGGCATTTCGGCACTCTAATGTTGTTCTGGAATGTTGGAAGTGTGGACCGCACAATTTCATGTGCTGAGGAACATTTTTGAGTGTTGTAGCAGACGAAAAAGTGTAGCAGCAGACGAAAAAGTGCGGACCATAGAGGAAAAGTGAGGACCGCACAATTTTGTCTGCGGCCGCACTTCTGGTGATTCTGCAGGTACGCTAGTCCGACTTCAGAAGCTTATATCTTTTGATCTACAAGGAATTTGGAGATGATTCAAAAACTTATATTGTATCCATTTATGTCTAGCTTCCAGAAAGGTAAAGAAGTCATCATTCGGACATCTGTAGAGAAAGTTATGGCCAATTTATTGAAGCCTGGTAGTGGAGAGGCTGTGAAGTGTGACCGCATAATTTTTGTGCGACCGTAGAACTTGGAAATGTGCGACCGCACTTGAAAATGTGCGGACTGCACATTGGGAGGTCAGAGGATGTACCATATATAAGGTACATTTTTTGGACTTAGAGAGCTCGGTTTGTG